TGAATTTGTTACTTATTCATCTACTTTATATTTCATTTGTATTTTGTGGCATTCATGTGGACGGCAAAGTAAGAATTTCATTGTACAGGGAAACAGGTTTCCTAACTGTGCATATGACAAACACTTTGACCTTTGACCTTGAGAAGGTGCTTTTCAAATCTGAGGCAGCTGCAGCAATTTATTCAGGAAAAGTGGGCTGCACTACCTGTAGACAGGTACAGAAGTCTCATTGAGAGCTATAGAAATCACTTGTTTGCCTCTGAAGGTTGTGCAACAGAATATTAGGTCATCTTCATTTGTTTTATAATTTAAAATATGTTGAATCAAAAATTTGAAGCAACATCTGATATTTATTAAATATGGAATAAACAACGACGGCTGCCAATTACTTTTGTCAGTTTCAAGTTATTTCTGAGAAAATTGTGAGTTTTTCTTTTTTCATGGAAGAGTCACAGCAAGTTTGTCCACATGTGTGTAAACTGTATGACTCAAATAAAAACCAGCAGGGCTGTTGGGTCCTGAGGGTCCTGGGGATGAGCAAACACACAGGGCAGGAGGAGAAACAAAATTAATAGGACATTGGCCCCATGTCCGATAAAGCTGGTCTCAGTCGAATCCCAGTCGGTAATCCTTCTCAGGGATTCCTTCCACGTAAAAACAGTTTGTTTAGTACAGTCTTTTCCAGCTGCTGTTAATCATTTATCGCTACCACTGCACACACACACTGGGTGATTCCAGACAGACAGTTAGGAAGCCAGTTATCGCAGCTGAGCTGCTCTCTGTTACGCTGATCCTGTCATGTGCAATTAAGGGTCCTTGCACAAAACCACTGGCTCCTCATTTTGTGTCCAGATTGTATGTCTAGATGCTGTTTAGTTAGTTCAGCTCATATTACAGAGTCACCAGTAGTCCTAATCAGTATTTTCTCCTTGAGTTCTTCCTACCTTCAGGAAGATTCCTACACATAGCACAATATTTACATTCCATGCAACTAAAATAAATCTCAGCTTGATCATTTGCAGTCCTCAAATGGTTGTTTCTCAACAAATACGCATCAGACAGAACCATCACTGAGACAGAACTACCTATAATGGCAGTGTAATTTTCCATCAACACAGAAGCAGTTAGTGGTATTGGTTGCTAGGTGCAGCTGACTTACAACAATGTGTGCATATGCATGAGTTTCATCTCTTCTTGCATCATTTTTTTCTTGTCTCTGTTTAATTGGGTCTGGCACAGAAAGATGTCGCCTCCAGGGTTAATCCCTTCTGCACAGTCCCTGTTGGTTTTCCAGCTGGGCAAGCAGCCGTCAATGAGCAAAACACCAGACCTATTTGAATTGTTGAAAAAATGTGAGCAGCCAGTTTGGGGTTTAGAACCAGGTTACCTCTTTACAAAAATGAATTCATTTGTACTATTTTTAACCATTACTCTACACTCTGGCTGTTCCTGTATTAAGTCTTCACAGCAGTTTTTGCTGCCCGGTTGCCTGTGCTTCACTGTAACATCTCTGAAGTGCATCAGCATCTCCTCTTGAACTCGATCACCGATTGTTTTCCAGATTCCTAACTTACTGCCCTAGTAAGAGGATCTTGTCGGACGAGGCGCTCAAGCACGAATACTTCAGAGAGACGCCACTACCCATTGAGCCATCCATGTTCCCCACTTGGCCTGCTAAGAGCGAGCAACAGAGGGTGAAGAGAGGCACCAGTCCTCGTCCACCTGAGGGAGGCCTTGGCTACAGTCACCTGGTAAGGACATTAGGCTCCACTTTCTCCATTATATATAGCTACCAGTCTTTCCGAACGCTGTATGTGTTAAATAGATTACGGACCTACGGGCCTCTGCTTAGTGTCCGTGTATTTCCTCCTTGTGTTTTCCATGATGAGCACCCTTTGGATACTAATGTTTTCAGCAGCGGTCCTACCCACCCAGAAGTTGTTTTTTCAAAGATTAATATATTTTTCACTTGAAGTTAATGTTGATATTTCCTCTAATAATAATAAATTAGATCACTTTATTTTTTTTTCTCAGTTTTATTGTTGCCAGGGGTAAAGCTTGTCAGACCATGGGACAATAACACTTTCAAATTAAACGTGAAGGAATAATAATAATAATAATACACATGTTCAGGCATACTTGTGGAATACAATCAAAATGCTTCATTAGAATCCATTCCGGTTAAGGAGTTTCCAAAGGTAACCAGTGTAGTGTTGATCAGTCATACAATAAATAGGTAAGAAATAAAACTACAGGGGGTGGAACAGTAGAGCGGTGGTTAGCGCTGTTGCCTCACAGCAAGAAGGTTCTGGGTTTGAGTGTCAGCCGACCCGGGGCCTTTCTGTGTGGAGTTTGCATGTCCTCCCTGTGCCTGCGTAGGTTCTCTCAGGGTACTCCGGCTTCCTCCCACAGTCCAAAGACATGCAGCTTAGGTTGACTGGCGACTAAATTGCCCATAGGAGTGAGTGTTTTTGTGTGGTTGTCTGTGTCAGCCCTATGATAGACTGGCGACTTGTCCAGGGTGTACCTCTCACCCAGTGTAAGCTTGGGATTGGCTCCAGTACCCCTGTGACCCTATTCAGGAATAAGCAGTATAAATAATGGATGGATAGATAAAACTGCTGGTGTCATATCACAAGTTGACTTTGTTTCTATAATCTCTTCAGGGTGACGACGACCTAAAAGACACAGGCTTTCACCTGACAACTAGCAACCAGGGAGTGTCTGCAGTCGGTCCAGGATTCAGCCTCAAGTTCTGAAGCTGCAGAATGCCTGGCTGGCTGAGGAAGAGGGCGCTGAGAGCTCTGGGACTTCTTTTGGAACCGGACAGTGTCGCTGGTTTACAACAGTAAACCAGATTAATAACTGATCATTTAAAACTGTTACCAAAGTCAGAACTGTGTCACAGCAAGACTGGTGGCTCAAACATGTTGAATTTCTAGAATTTGTCTTTGACTTTTTGGCTTCTATTTTTTCAAGCCATTACACTATTTCACATGTGGCTGTTTTAGTTCTTAAAGAGGAGAGACAACCATAAATCTGTTAGAAGTTTAGCTCTCATGCTTGACTTTTGTTTTATTTTCCCTTTTATACTTCATGAGAGAGGACCAGCTTTTTTTAAATGGCCACTATTTCCTGGCTGCCTGAGCTACTGTATAATGATGCAGCATTGGCTGTTTTCCATCCAGTATAACTTGAGACTGACAGCTCACTTGATGACAGGAGGCGATGTTTTAGCTATAAATAAAGTCTGAAACTTTGTTTTGTCTGCCATTTTCCCTATATTTATAAACTCTTTCCAAGCTATGCAAACACAACCACACACTGCCAGAGGAGGAAAAAAAATGGAGAAGTCGAGCCAAAAAAAAAAAACTCCAGCCTGAACCCAACTTAGTAATCACTGTCCAACAGTGATGTCATTCTTTGCACCACACACTTTGTCTCAGTACTTTGTTCTTTCAGGGGAGAAGAGGCCCAGACTTTGCTCTACCCTTGTTTTCAAATGGCTCTGTGATGAGCATTAAATCAATAAAATTTTTGATTTTGAGCCAACGAAAAATAAATAATGCAGTTTTGTTCCTTGCAAGGCCACATTGCTGCTTTTAGTTGAACTGGCACAGAAAAGTACCCTCGTCTTTGGACCTCTAGAGCCAGCACTAAATGGAAATGTTCATTTATCAGTTTTATCTGTCCCCTGCCCCCTCCTGAGCCCCTCAGCAGATTATTACACCTGATGTGTTGACTAAGCTTGGAAGAAGAACTGCCAGTGGAGCTGACTGCTCAGTCTCAGGAGACAGACTGCTGGCTTCACTATGAGGCTAGTAAAGTAAGCAGACGTCTGAGGTGTTCCATATGCAGCCGAAGGTCTAAAGGCTGTAGACAACATTGCTTATTCTGGCTTTAGTAGCTTAGTTTGATCAATGTGTCAATTATTCAAACGAGAGCTTCTGTGACTTTTTCAGGCCCCTGAAAAAAAAAATGGATGACATTTTCCAGCGGGCTACAGGAGTTTGTAGAATCCAGTAGTGAATTATCCAACTGTGTTAATATCTTTTGAAATGAAGCATATCACTATCCTGCTAATCGGTCTCCGTTTTTCTAGGAACATCCCAAGAACCCCTTTGGACCCCATCGCTGCCTTTCTCGCAGCAGCTTTGAGGAAGTCCAGGCTTGATGAATCCAGAGTAAACATTGTCCCAAACAGCTAACAAGGGCTGCAAAGATTTTTCATCAGACATCTGACATGAGCAGCTTTTCACAGTGGGTATTTTCCCAAAAACACTACTTGTCACGGAACATTTATTATATGCACATATTAAACGGCATTTACATGATGACAACCAGCGGTAGACAGCTTGAGGAAGACACAGACAGAAAAGACATTTTTCAAAAAACAAATATGTGCCCTAGTAAATGAGGTCTCCTTGTGACTGTGTGTGTGTGAATGTCTGTTTACTGTGCAAAGGAGATGTGGCCTTTAGAAGCGCACACGTACCCTCCATGAGTACTTGGTGAGAACTTTGTCTTTTTTCTTCACAACGCAGGTGTATGTGCCTTCGTTGATAGCATTGGCCACTATAGTAATATGGTCATCTTTTAAGGAGATGTAGTTTGGGTGAGAGAACTCCAGCAGCTCCCCATCTTTGTACCAACTGGAACAGGAGTCAGATGTTAGACAGTGCCAGGTGAAATCATACTGTAGCATCACTGTGGCTAGGCGGACTAATGATAGATCAGACGTAGATACTCACTATACTTTGCCTTTCTTTGATGCTATTTTCTTGCCACAACGAAAAGTAAGCTTCTTGCCTTCGACAACCAATTTGTGTTTGGTCCTCGGGGGAGTCGAGGTGGGAGCCACAGTGGGGAAAGGGAATTCTGAAGAGGGTTGAAAGGAAATGCTCAAAAAAAAGTGCTGTAAAAAAGGAGCTAAGAGAGATACAATATGAGTTTACCATTTATCTCAGTGTATTTCTTAATCTGGAGATGTCACACTTTCCTTCACAAACACCTCACTGAAAAAGACTGAACTTTCTCATGTCAGACACTTCACGTTTCTTAGCCACTGACCTGCCGGTGCCACATCTCTTATCAGTTTAATCTCTCCCATCTGGTTTCTTACAAACACAACAGGCATCCGAGTGATCAACTCAGATTCTGTTTAAATACAGTCACTCGTTAATGCCGCAAAAATCTAAATTGACCTTGTGTGTCTCTAACCCTCAAGCCGCAGTCTGAAATTCCAGCGGTTTGGACTCGCTCAGGAATTTTCCAACGTCTCCCAATCAGCAATGAAGAACAGATTACTGTGAGCCAGGAATCGTATCCTCTTGCCTCTCTCCACACTGTCCCTTGTTGCAGACAAATGTCTTAGACAGCCTCAATAGTCTTTGGGCTGTGATAATTAAGAGGAGCCATTTCCTGTTGTGCTACAGGACAATTTGGCACTAGTGCATCTCACCGTAAACCCAAAGAGGCCTAGGCTGACCCATCAGATGGCTGATGGGTTATCAATACCTGGTGTAGAGGTACCTGCTCTGCTCTGTCAGGACACAGGTATTCTCTAGAACAAAAGTCTCGTGGCAACTGTAATCTCTCTTTAATTGAGATTCTTGAAACCCCTCATTGCATGGCTGGACCTGTTGGCTCCCGTTGCTCCATTGGCAAATGGTTCACAGCAGCTCCTTGCGCTGCTCAATTGAGAGAAAACTTTCTTTTTTTCCCCCTTGGACTGCTGCTGCTACTGTGTCTTACCGTAACAGAAATCACAGCTGGAGGGGCAGTGCTTCTGCATCAGTTTGCGCTTGCTGTCACAATAGCCTTTACGAGTCCAGGCTGGACAGATAAATAGCCGGTCCAAACATCCTGGAAGAGATGGAGTGAGGAGGGGAATGAGGATCAGACAACAGCTCTGTCAGCAGCCAAAGAATTTAGATCTCCAGACTGCTTCTCGTTCCACTGACAGTGACTCATGATAATACACACTAATGATGACTCGTGAGTAGTTAATACAGTATTCATTAATGCCACGTTGGCTTTTATTGTGAGCCATCAAAAAGTGGCATGACATTTTGGTTGGTTCTAAAACAGCGCCGCAGCTTTATACTGCTTGTCCTCCACAAATATATGTAGATTCATTGTTCTAATCATAGTACGTATAAAACATTTTTGCCTTTCGAGATGGTCAGTCTGTCCGATTTAGCATCACTTCAGTTCACACATGGCAGTCTACACAGTAGACCATCGGCCACAGTTTTTAAGACATGCACAAGTGATGATCAGGAAGGTGTCAGGGACTGACTTCTAATCTGTCATGTTTAAAATTTAACAACAACATCAGTGAACCCATAGGAGAAGTTGCCAAACTTGGTCCATCGAAATCAAAAATACTCTGGCGCCAGAATGTTGGCAGGATTCCCAAGTGCTGCATCATTTGTCTTCCATTCCAACAAGACTACTCGGGACAAAACAAGCAATGCATTCACTGCTCATTTTTGTTCCTGACACCCCACATCTGTCAGGTCAGGCTATCAAGCCTGTCAGGTATCTGATCCCTGCAGGAGGACTGGATTTGCTGTTCAGCTCTTAAAGATTTTTTCCATTCATTCAAGAGGTTTCAGAGACCAAATACTGTAAATACATTTGCTTTTGACTTACTACTTCTAGATACCCTGTGTCCGGGATGGCTGACAACTTCTTCAAAACCCAAAAGAAGAACTTTCTCAATTATGTTCTGGCAAAATATACAAAACCCATGTATGCATTACCGTAGAGACGGTGCAAGCCCCACACATCATCCTGTGTGATTAGCTTGCGCCCTGTCAGAGTTGCATTCAGGTGCATTATAGCTTTCGGGTCCATGGAGTGCATGAGTCCCAGGGCATGGCCAATTTCATGAGTTGCCACGTGGACAAGATCCGTCAGCCAAACCCCTGCAACAAAGATCCAATTGATTATTTTCTCTTTAAGTTGCCATGCGCCCCCCGAGCTGTCTTCAGCTCCTCCCCAGTATCTGCTGCATGCATCACCTTATGGCTTAATTATTAGCAGACTAAAAACTACGTGATAAAGACACACGCCTTTCTTCCAGCTGAAGCGCATGTTTCCAAGAATCCAGTATTCGTGGTCGTCAAAGTGGATCTCGCCTGTTGGTGGGAAGAATGCGTGAGCCAATTCTCCTGTGATGCCATCAAAACAATGGTGCAAGGGGGACTGCAGACAGTCAGTGTGGTTGATAGGGTAAAATCCTGCCAAAACAGAGAAAGAGAGAGACACGCATACCTCAGAGCCGAGGAGGGAAACCCTTGCTTAATTTTTTGTGCTCTATGTAGACAAACATTCCTTTCATTGTCAGTGGGAATTTATGCAGGACCCTGGAGTTTACTCCCAAAGGGACAAATAAGGCTTAGTATGGACAGTCTCACTGTGGGCTGACTTGTATGAAAGTTGTTCAGCATTCTTTTTTTCACTTAGAATCATGAATCATGCTGAATATAAGCTCAGTCATATAGTTGCGGAAGTGTGACTTAATAATGAGTTTGGAGGCAAAGACATTTCTGTGATGATAGCATGGAAAGGAAAACAGTAATAGCAAAGCAGAAGTCTCGAGCCCTGAGCCAAGAAACATCTGTTGGGGTCTGATACAGCCACATGCAGAGCACCTACCGATCTTAATGTCTGCTTCTTGGTCAGCTGGCACCTCTCTGAAGCTGAACGGCGAGACGTCACTCCACATGCCAAAAGCTTTGGCAAAGCCTCGACGTGTGTCACTGGCATTCATCAAGTTTGTTGGAAAGGAGAGCAACCTGCTCAGAAATGGCAGCGTTATGTAGTTAATACTGGTGTCTACACACATTCCTCTACAGCAGAGAAACCTGCCAAAGCACATCAGCTACTGTTTAGACAGACCAGAATCCCCAAAAGCACTGCAAATACAGCTCCACTGCTGTGACATAATATTTTCTAGAGTTAGCCTGACATGGATACTTTTAATATCAGATATGGATTTGGTGGTATGAAAGAGCTGAAGATGTAACTGTAGCAATTCAGGAATGATTGAAATTTGGCTCATTACCTACTTTTTCTCAGTTATTCTGCCAGTTGAATCTTCACAGTGATCAAATCTCTGTCACTAAGTCTAATGACCTTCTAAAGGTTTAGAAATCATCTTTTTTACAGCTCCACTAATAAAATATCACTGGGACTTCTCCAAACGGTTAGTACAACACAATCCAAATGTTATGTAGCCATGCAACTGCAGTGTGCAAGTACACTATATAATCTTTTTGAGAGTTTTGTAAGGTGCTCAGTATCAGATGATGCACTTTCATACAACTTTCAATGAACATCTTCAATGGACATGCAGTAAGAAGAGACCATATTGACTTTGCGTTTTTCTTGTTGTCCCAGGAGGATTTGCCTTCCTTTTTTCTTTCCTACAGCTGTATTTTGCTGCTGGGTTGACTAGAGGAAGATTTGCAAGTGAATACTTGTATGTTAGCTTGAACTTGTCCCATTTGAGCTGCTCCGGGGTGAGGGTGTAGCGCTTGTTCCTGGAAAGGTGAAGCACTTGTGACCGGGCCTCTTTGCGGATACCGACGAGCAACACAGTGGTGTAAGCTTCTTCCTTGGACAAAGAAAACCCTTCAATTAATCACCTCACACTGTGACGTGAAGTTAGGAACTGAACTGTGAGATGCATTTGATTTTTGTCAGATTATTGCTTATTGCAAACTTTTTGTAGCTGCAAGCATTAAACTACATCTGTTATCTTGACAGTAACACCTGCACTACACTGCTGCTATTTTATTGTTTCGCACGTGAAAGTTACACACTAGACTTTCATGCAAGGGCATTCTGTCCCTTGGAAAAAGGAAGTGGTCTGCAGTAAAAGTGCTTTCCTAATGTTAAGTATGATCCTTTTTACAGATTGTACAGGTTGTGTCTGATGATTCTTTGGGGATGGGCAACACTGATGCCAAATAATCACACCTGGATTCTGTGTTTTTTATAGCTCTGAATGGCTGTGTATGGGTGCTTTGCATTTTAGTGCCCTCATAAATATTCTGTGACTGAGGTTAAGTTGTGGTTTGCTTTGGCTGCAGTGTCCTATAACAGTGATCATTCCAGCTGATAGAAGGTATAACTTGTTATGGCAATAGGTTAAGTAATAAATACATTTTCCAGTACTTAAAGCCAGGCCATGATTCTGTCCCAAGGAGGCTGTTCTGTGCTTGAGAACAGGCAGCCCACCTGTGTGATTTTAAGGAGGATTCAAGGAAGTATACATTAAAACTGACAAACTGCTGATGGCTACAACTGCACACACACAGTCTTGATTTCTATAGGACAACTTTTTCTACTTTAACCCTAAGTTTGTATACTGGGAGACTGGTGAGCACATATGGTATATCAGAGCCTGTCTATGAGGTACAGGTTGTAAGTGTAACAGCTTCAGGATACTTCAAGCAAAGCGCTTGTCTTAGTGTCTAAAAGCATCAGAAGTAACAATTTGGAGTATACAGTCAAGACGAGGCTATGGGCTTTAGTAAACTTCAAGTGTAAGTCAGCCCTTGCAACAACATCTGGAACTTTCCTCCCACTGTGCCTTTTCCAAACAGTGGAATTGGGCCGACTGCATCCAACAGTTTTTGTAACTATCTGAAACAGAAGATCTGCACCGTCTGCAGAGCTATTGGCCAGGCCTGTGGAGGAGGGAAACTAGGCAGGCTTTGAACTTATCACATTTACAATGAACAACAGGGCGCAACAGCACAAATTCCTTTGAGAAGAGACTGACATAAAGTGAGCTATTATCCTAAATACAAGATTAGTTGTGTCAAAACCCTCTGTGTGATGGCAGGGTTTTTTTTCCAACCTTTTTCTCCTATATGAAATTATGTTAACTGTGCAGATGCATTAATGATGCATTAATCATGCAGATGATTGTCCTAACTCTGCTTTTTTATTGTGAATTTGGTGATTTAATTTCTTCAGAACCCACACACAGAGGCAAAAAAAAAAATATTCTAACAGCTTTAGCAAGGAAAATCTTTGGTTAAACTGGTCACAACCGGCAGACTTATGCAACCTCCAGTATGCTCCAGCATTTTTTTATTGGGGAAAAATACTGAAGATGGAGAGCAAATATCAAAGCCACTCCTTGCACTTTGTATTCAACACCCTATCCCCTGGTTCCTGTTCCTGCCTCGCCCAGTCAAGACAAATAGATGCAGTACTTCCTTCATTTCCTTACCAAAATAGTGAGCTGGGGGCAGGCAGTCTGGTAGACTGCTGCTGAACTGTGTGACTTCTCTGCTCTGATTTTAAAGATAATGTCTCTGTATTACTTTAAATGTACAGGTCATTACTCTATGCAACAGCTGCTTTCCTGACCTCAGCTGACACACTGCAGTTGTATGTTTAGTGATTTATGAGGTGTTTAATGTAGTAAGGCCAGCGCCGTTCTTTTTGTGCCATGTCTTGTTATAGTCACTGCAAATCTAATCTCAATTTTTGGCCCAAATAAAGACGGACCATTAATCATGAGGCCTGAAACAAGCGCACTAGACTAAACCTCGAAGCCGGTGGCGAGTGCTGACTCAGATGACTGTGATACAGTTCTGTAATTTTGAATCATACAAATAGTGTGTTCCTTTCAGTACACATGCAATGAAACACATTCAAATGCTCCTGGTCTGCATTTTACCTCACTTTGTTCACTAACTGATCCATTTATACTATAGTGTTTCTGATACTTATGCTGTATTTGATTGTGGTTGCCTATAAGAAGTTTATGGCAGTTCTGTGATCCTCGCCAGGAGTCTGCTTGATTGTATGGCAAATACCTCAACCTCAATATCACAGTAGGTGGTGGCAGTGATTGAAGATGTGTGGAGGAACACATTAATCCACTTCACCGAAGAATTTATTGTCCAAGGATTCACTTAAGGAAACCAGAGAACTTACTGAAACTGCATGAGTAGTTGATTCCTATTAAAACTCTTCTATTTAATAACAGTGAAAGGAAACTGTGTGAATTATCCTTAGGCTACTTTGAAAAGCCTCACCTGTGTCGTTCTGTACCTAATTAAAAACTTTATTCATTTATCATGATTTTACAGACTCTCAAATGTACACAACCTGCATTGCATTATAAGACAGGTCATTCTTGTGGGAAATTCGGGGAATAAAAATCCAGCAAATAACACTTTACTATTTAAACTTTAACATTTGTGGAACCATTTAATTATAGAGGGCAGCTGCAGCTTTAAACAAGTGTTATTTTGTATAATAACAATACTGTATAGGCCGATTTGATAGGCAGCTTTTATTCATTACAAATGATTTCAGTCTATAGCATTCCCGTTCTGTAACTTCACAGACACATATGGCAATTATTAATTAGCAGAAATTTGAATGCAGTTTGGTTTTAGGTTTTCTAAAATGATAGAGCAAAGTGCTTACTTACATAACTTCATAATTACAAACCACACTATAGGCTCTATATTGGACTTCGCTGATGCAGTCACAGCTTCTAAATGACATGAAGTGGTCACAGCATACCTCGAACCTCCAGGAGGGAAACGCTGCGGCTTGGTGCATCCCTGCCATCAGGAGACTGAGTAGCGCAGCAGCCACCAGAGGAGCGAGGCTCCAGTCGCCTCTTCGTAAACTTCTGGGAATCTGACAGAACACCATGGCTGCGATATCACACCTTCAGTGGGAAAAGCGCCAAATAATCCCTCAACGAACACTACAGAAGATTACCGTCTATGCCCGTGGAGATTCTTCTTGGCCATTGCGCGTTTCGGTGGTTCGTTACTATACGGTTAGTGTGTGGTGCTGTGTGCAGCAGCGCAGTCCAGCCTGCGGACCGGGCAGTGAAAGCAGTGCAGACTGCATTAGGTCTGCACGGCTCGCTCTCGCACAGTGCGCCTGCCAGAGGGCTGGTTTCACGTTTCTGTAGATGGGGCAGGGGGTCAGTGTCGAGACAGTCTAATGAAAACCAAACGCACTCAGCCCGTCAAACCACAACCACTACAGTTCGGTCAGAGAGTATAGCCTAACTTATTTTGAACATAGCTTTCTGGGACATGAATGCTGCTGGGGAAAAAGTTGTCCAGCCTTCTCCTTATCGTGGAATGCACAAACACTCTGAACTGCAGGCTTTAACAAAACAGGATCAGGACTGAGGAATGGCCAAGTTAGACTTGGAATTGAAACAAAATCCAGTTATGTTATCACATAAGACATTTCATCTAAATGCACCTTCAGTGGTTTTCCTGTTATCTTTTCTCTCCAAAGAATTACATTTTATTATTTATAGTTTTGTAAAGTCTCAAAACCTTTAGGTTTCTCCTACTGTGACTTGCAGATATTTCTTATGTAAGGACATTACATGAACACTGCAGGAGCCACAAAGAGCAGGCTGACTGCTTCAGCTGCATGGCAAAGTTGATTCAGTTTGGGGTATTGCCATTTTCTCAGTGTGTGGATATTGTACCATGTGGGCACTGATTCATGGCTGCAAAACATGCTTCTACTATGTGTGGAGAACAGAACAGCAAATGACTGAGAAGATAGGATTATTTTTTGGATCCATGATAGCCAAAATAAAGGCCAATTTAGGGACTCTGTGGATATCCGGGAGATAAAATCCCATCTCATTCTCCAGTCTTTGAAACAAAAACAGCTGTGTTTTGGCCTACAGTGTGAGTTTGTGGTATGTTACAGCATTTAGGTAAAATCTTGTTTGGGCTTTCCTTTCTAGTCTGGTGATCGAATCAGAACATACAGCGTTCACTGATGTCCAGTACAGAGAGAAGTACAGAGAGAAGCTGAATGGCTTCTACTCTACTGCTGACTCCGGACGGATGTGGCAAGGCCTGCAGCACATCACAGACTACAGGACCACCACCAGCATCATCAGCTCCACAGACAGCCTGCCGGATGACCTCAACACCTTCTACACCCACTTTGAGACCTCCAGCCACAGCACAGAGAGGAGGATCACACACACGGAGACCACCCAGCCCCCCCACCGACTGTCTCACCAGGCCAGGTACGCACAGTCCTGAGGAAGATCAACCCCCGCAAAGCGGCAGGACCGGACAACATCTCTCTCAGGGCTCTCAGGGCATGTGCCAGCGAGCTGGCTGATGTTCTCACCACCATCTTCAACCTCTCCCTCAGCCAGAGCATCGTTCCCACCTACTTTAAGACCACAACCATCGTCCCCCTTCCCAAGAAGAGTCCAGTCACCTGCCTGAACGACTCCAGGCCAGTGGCACTCACCCCAATCATTATGAAGTGTTTTGAGAGAGTGCTGCTGGCCCACATTCAGAGCAGTATACCGGACCCCCTGAACCCCCTGCAGTATGCCTACTGGCCCAACCGGGGCT